TCTTGCAGTTTTTGGGTTTAGTTTTCCTTTTTTAGTTTTCCACAGCAGGTGACTAGTCCAAATGACCTGCTTTACTGTTATTAGAAGTTATTTCATGAGAGGGAGGTATACGCAAGGGGACCTCCAAATGCCAAAGGAAAGACTGAAGGAAAAGGCCAACAACTTCAGCTTGACAAGAAATGGGTTTTTTTATTTTTTATTGTTATGTTTATCACCATGCATTACATCGTTAGTTTTTGATGTAGTGTTCCATGATTCATTGTTTGTGCATAACACCCAGTGCTCCACGCAGAATGTGCCCTCTTTAATACCCATCACCAGGTTAACCCATCCTCCCACCCCCCCTCCCCTCTAGAACCCTCAGTTTGTTTTTCAGAGTCCATTGTCTCTCATGGTTCATCTCACCCCCGACTTACTCCCCTTCATTCTTCCCCTCCTGCTATCTTCTTCTTTTTCTTTTTTCTTACCATATGTTGCATGATTTGTTTCAGAAGTACAGATCTGTGATTCAACAGTTTTGCACAATTCACAGTGCTCACCACAGCACACACCCTACCCAATGTCTGTCACCCAGCCACCCCCTCCCTCCCACCCCCCACCACCCCAGCAACCCTCAGTTTGTTTCCTGAGATCAAGAATTCCTCATATCAGTGAGGTCATATGATACATGTCTTTCTCTGATTGACTTATTTCACTCAGCATAACACCCTCCAGTTCCATCCACGTCATTGCAAATGGCAAGATCTCATCCTTTTGATGGCTGCATAATATTCCATTGTGTATATATACCACCTCTTCTTTATCCATTCATCTGTCGATGGACATCTTGGCTCTTTCCACAGTTTGGCTATTGTGGACATTGCTGCTATACACATTAGGGTGCACGTACCCCTTCGGATCCCTACATTTGTATCTTTGTGTAAATACCCAGTAGTGCAATTGCTGGATCGTATGGTAGCTCTATTTTCAACTGTTCGAGGAACCTCCATACTGTTTTCCAGAGTGGTTGCACCAGCTTGCATTCCCACCAACAGTGTAGGAGGGTTCCCCTTTCTCCGCATCCCCACCAACATCTGTCGTTTCCTGACTTGTTAATTTTAGCCATTCTGACTGGTGTGAGGTGGTATCTCATTGAGGTTTTGATTTGGAAACAAGAAATGGTTTATTAAGGGGACTTATGGACAGAAGTGTGTCTTGGGTAGCTGTAAGAAAGTGGGTTTACACAACCCCACCTCCAGTGAGAACTTTTATAGTTCTAGAGGCTGGGAAGTACATGCTTGTAGACCACCTGGGAGGAAATATTTGAGAATAGTTCTCTGTCATAGTCTGACCTCCAGAGCAGATCAAGGATGTTATGCCCCGGGGTGTTCGTAAGGAAGTCTCTGTTATGCATATTTAAGAGATTATTGTCATATCTCTTACTTGTTTCAGGTTCCTTTGATGGGAAAAAAAAATGTGCACTAAACTCCCATTTACCTGGCATGATTAGAAACTATAGAAGAAATAAATTACATTAAGCCCAAATTGCTTTGATTTAGCTTTGATTAAAACTAAACTCAGAGGCCACGATTTTTCTTCTAGATAAATTTTACAAAGCTATGGATGCAAATGCTTTTGAGAATGTAAAACACTGGTTTAAGAATTAACCTTTGAGAGTTGATGAGAATTGTAAGTTACAGCAATGCACATTCTGAGACTTGTCATAAATCTGAGTTTGTTTTTATCTGGTACGGGGAACTTTTTTTTTCCTACAGTGTCAAAAGATTTTTTTGAATAATTTCCTTCAGGTTATGAATGTTTGACATAGACAACTACATTTGTTAAAATGTTTGTTATATCCCTTCACTGGCTTTGTGATAATTACCTTGCTGATTTTACCTCACTGATTTGTTGTGATTGATACAACTGGTATAAAAAGACTGTGAGGGGCCCGCCTGGGTGGCATAATCAGTTAAGCGTCTGACTCCTGGTTTTGCGCAGGTCATGATCTCGTGGATCGTGAGACTGAGCCCCATGTTTGGCTCGGCGCTCAGTGTGGAGTCTGCTTGAGACTCACTCCGTCTCTCCCTTTGCCCCTCCCCCCCAAAATTAATAAATTAATCTTAAAAAAAAAAGACTGAGGATTCCCTTAAAATTTGGAATATAATGGGCGCCTGGGTGACTCAGTTGGTTAAAGCGTCTGCCTTCGGCTCAGGTCATGATCTCAGGGTCCTGGAACCGAGTCCTGCATTGGGCTCCCTGCTCAGGGGGAAGTCGGCCTCATCCTCTGCCCCTCCCCCTCCCCTGGCTTGTGCGTGTGCATGCTTGATCTCTCTCTCTCAAAAACAAATAAAATCTTTAAAAAAATTAGGAATATAATTAAAGGGAATTACTTCTGGTGAAAATTTATGTTGTTTTACGTGTAAAGTGGCTTTAACAAATTAATTTAGAAATACAATGCAGAATATCCAGTTTGCCACAACGGGGTATTCAGGCGAATGGAATATTCTTGTTTATTTTTATATTCTTGTTTTATTTTAACTTTATTCATCTGTGGATCATCAAATTCCTACAGATTAAATGGTAGTACCGTACACTTAAAGCTTCCCTAAGCGTATAAACACTTTAATGGGTGATGATTCAGAAGGCATCGGCTCTGCTAGCTATCACTCATTGCCTTGTATTTGCCCAATAAATAGACACCCCATGCTGGAAGCTGCATAGGTATTAGCTGGAGGTGGAGAAAAAGACAGGAGCAAGTAGAATAAGCAAATAGCTCGGAGTCAGACTGACAGTGGTCCAAATCTTGTCTCTACCCCTTTCCAGCCTTGTGCTCCCTGGGTAAATAACTCTGAGCCTCAAGGTCATCATCTGTAAATTGGGGGTAATGACATTAAGCCATCTCACGGGGTCTTTTTTGGCGGGGGGGAGAATGTAAAGGATACACTGAGATTGTGATTATAAAGCACTTAGTATACTGAGAGCACAGAAGTACTTAAGAAATAATGGCAGGTATTACTACCTCGCTGAGAGTACATATTCTACTGCCTGGAGGAGTAAAGACAGTTCCAGAATTTCTGCTAGGAGGGGCTCAAGAGCAGTAATCACAAAGGAACGCAGGGTAGGACGCTGCTTTTACATTGATTCTATGCTGATTAGAAGAGAAAACGAGGAAGGGTTTACAATTTACAGGTATTAGAACATTCCCCCCATATTCCTTGGCACTGCTCCTGTTCAGTGATGATATTCAGGGGATTTCTTGCACTCCCTCTTCTGTCCCAGGCAACTAACCAGTCAATAAATACAAAAAGGCACTGCCAAGGGATTGGACTCCGGGACAGAAGGGAAGAGAGAAGGGCACTGTGCTTTCTTGCCAAGTGTGTGGACCTCCTGTCCTTACACTTCTGCTAAATCCCACTTACTCCCTTATATCAACTGCACCTCGGCCGCACTCTTCCTTGACTTCAGCCAATCTCCATGTCCCGGGAGCGAAGGGCAAGACCTTTGGTTTTATTGGCCACAGGCAGCAAAGTGGTCCTCCTGAGTGCAACCTGGTTTCCAACAGCCCCTCTGATCGCTGGAGGACAGACACTGCCCAAATTCCCTTGCAGCCTCTGCTGAGGCCCACAGGAGTTGAACAGACATTCATTCTCAGCACCAACTCAGGCCGAGGATACACTCAGGCATCCAGAGCCTCGGCCAGTCTCCCTCGCTTCTGCCTGGCCACACTCTCTTTACCCAGGCAGCAAGAGGTTCCATCTTTAGCTTTGGAGGTGACTCTCTAAGTTTGAAATCCAGGGTTCATCCCTAGTTAGCTTGTGACTTTCGGCAAGATATTTTTCTGTGTCTAGTTTTCCCCACACCGAGACTGACCCAAGGACCGTTAATCTGGAGGGTCCGGCACAGTAACTGCATAGAAAACTTCCAGTAAATACCAGCTGTGACTACCTCACAGGCCCGGGACCAAAACAGACAAATCTATTAAGTTGCTCTAATTATATAGTGAAAAGACCCCGGGTTCTAGTTATCGTCCCGACACTGACACTTAATGATCTTGGACAAGTTGGGATTCTTTTTGATCCTGTTGCCCCCGACCGACCGTCACGTGATGGACTTCACTGATTTAAAAAAAAAAAAAAAACCTCAGTGAACGTTTATTGAGTGCTAACTTCCAGACTCCTTCCCCAAAGGAGTATCCCCCAAGGCTACAATTATTAGCCAATCAGCGCACTCACCAGGTGGTGAGGGACACTGGTGGGGGTTGGTGGGGGGGGCAGACTTGTTTCCCTCTGCTTTAGGGATGTTTGGAGGGCCAGATTTACTGGGGAAAAGGAAGTTGAACAAAGCTTGAAGGATCCATTCACGAGTTTGCCTTGTAATAACTGGCGATGCTTTTATGTTCCCGTCCCTTTCAAACTTGAGCACTGGTGCAGGGATTTGGTTCTGAAAATAAGCCCACTTCTCCTTTTTATTGCCGAGGTCACTGTGACTGAGAAGCCAGTGGAGCCGCATAAAGCAGGTTACGCCTCCTCTTCCCTCTTCGAGGCACCGTGACCTCCTAGTACCCGCGCGACCCGGGGCGGCTCTGGTCGCCTGGGAGGAGAGCAGGGCCTGGCGGTGCAGGGGAAAGCTGCTCTGGCCGGCCAGCTAACTGGAACGGAGAAACAGAAGGGGCTAAGCCGGAGCGGGGCAGTGCTGGCCTCGCCTTGTGTACAAGGGCACGCTGTGAGTTCCCACGGCCGGCCGCCCCAGACCTGAGACACCGCGCCATCCAGCTCCAAGGTCGGGGGGGCTGGGGGGAGGGGCTCCGGCTCCGGGACGGTCACTATCGCGCGGCATCTCTACACCCGCGGCAGCGACGCGGAACCTGGGAAAGGGCACAGGCCGCACGCGCGCAGGGTCACATGGGCGGGCCGGGCGCGTGCCCCCGCACCCACGAGAGGAGGCGGGGATGGGGGGCGGGGCCGGCGGCGCGGCCTCCCGTGAAGCCTCGCGCGGGGAAGGACCGGAACTCCGGGCGGGTGGCTTGTTGATAATATGGCGGCAGGAGCTGCCTGGGCTTCTCGAGGAGGCGGTGGGGCCCACACCCGGAAGAAGGGTTTCTTTTCAGGCTAGTGCGGCGGCCGCTGCGGACCCGGAAGTCCGGGCCGGTTGCTGAATGAGGGGAGCCGGGCCCTCCCCGCGACAGTCCCCCCGCGCCCTCCGCCCCGACCCGGGCCCCGCCATGTCCTTCTTCCGGCGGAAAGGTAGCAGAGGGGGCTCCGGCGGGGAGTCAGGCCGGGCCTCAGGGGCGGCGGTGGGGCAGGGGGGCCTGCACGGGCTTCCTCGCGGGTGGCAGCGAGGCCCTCGGCCTCCGCGCAGACGCCCCCTGCGTGCCTTGCTTTGCTCCGGGACTCTGCAGGGAGGGAGAAGGTGGCCTCCTCGCGCGAGGTCAGAGGGGAATTGTCTCGCTGGTCCAAAAGTATTTGCCGAAGCGCATACGAGTTAATGCCTGTTGGCGCAAAAACAGTTTTCGCGTTTGTGTGCGTGTGTGTCTAACTGTGGATCCAGAAAAGAAATTCCTTTAGTACCGTGTTACGGAAGTTTCTGACTTTTCAGAATATTGAGGGTTTTATGTCTAAAAGCAACATGTGAAAAAGCTGTTTTCTTCAACTAGTGCTATTTTCTAATTTCCCTTTTTGGGGGGTGTGGGGAGGGGGATCCTGCAGTTCCTAAAATAACATTACTTACTGCCAAATGTTCCCTAATGAAGAAGATTATTTCTTTTGATGACTTAGCAAGTCGACTAAACTATTGGAACGCTCACTTTGTAAACTACTTGTATTTCTGATTTTCAATTGTAATAGCTGCCCGGTTTTTAAGTAGAGGCAGCTTAATTTTGATCTGGATAAAATTGTTGTGTTGCATTCAAAATATATATCCAAAATGAACAAGTGGAGGTCTTTTTGGATGATAGTGGTTCTTTCAATTCTTGTTATTTAAGAGAAAAGGTACCAGAGAAAAACAAAACAGAAAAACACCAAACGGTATCAGGGACTTGGGTTCACATGACTGCTCTGCTACTTCTGTCACCTGGGACAGAAAAGCGTTAACCCACTTTTTTCTCCTCTCTCAACCGAGAATTAGATGATTCCTAAAGGCCCCATTCAGATATGAATTCAAGAATTCCTTTTAAGTACAAGTAGAGTTTCAGTAACTGATGTCATGGGGTGAGTGAATGAAACTGATGAATGAATGAAAGCACTGCTGAATGAAGGAAACCTGTAAAATGGTACAAGGAAGCTTTGTTGTTAAGGTACCTTGGTGTAGTTTATAGCTCTAATTTGTTTGACAGTGTTAAAGTAGGTTTTGTGGGTTTTTTGTTTTTTGTTTTTTTCAAGGGGAAAGCAAGCATTCTATGTATAATGAGGCAGATTGCATGTTGCGTAATAGACCTTTGTATCTGTTCAACAAATACTTATGAATGCTGCTCGCCAGGCACTGTGTTAGGCGCTCATTATTAAGCACTGAACAAGAAAAAGTCCCTGCACCTATGGAGCTTATTGTCTGCTGGGGCAAACAGACAATAAATCTCTCTTTCAGTCCCTTTGTGTATTTACAAATTGATAACATGTTATAACACAGATAAGGTGAGAGGAGAAGCATATTTTGGTTTGATGTTAGAGGAAAGCCTCAGCAGGTGACCTTGAAACTTAGAGCTGAGGGATCAGTAGGAGGTAACAGAGGCTAGGAAAGAGCATGTTCAAAGGTTGTGAGTCAAGAAAGAGTTTGGTGCCCTTCAAGAAAGGAAGGCAGGCCACTGTGATTTGAGCTTAGAGAGGTAGACAAGATTCAGAGCTTTGTAGGCCAAAGTTAGGTTTTATTCCAAATGCAGGGACACTATTTAAAAAAAATTTTTTTTAAAGAGACAACACAAGAGGGGCAGGGGAGAGGGAGAGAATCTTAAGCAGGCTACATCCGCTTTGGGGCTGGATCTCATGACCCTGAGATCATGACCTGAGCTGAAATCAGGAGTCAGACACTTAACCCACTGAGCTACCCAGGCGCCCCTTAAAATTTTTTAAAGAGGAATGATTTGATCTTACGTTATAAAAAGATCATTGTAGATGCTTTTTGCAGACTGAATGTGGCAAGAGTAGAAGCTGGAGACACTTCTGTTTAGGGATCCCATCCAGTCTTTAAATACCATTTTTAAATACCACCTATATGCTGATGACTCCCGAGTTTACATCTTCAGCTTGAATTCTCTCCCCTGAATTAGGAATGGTATATCCAACTGTTGGTCCACTTTATACCTCTACCTGATAGATACAGTTATATCTATTAATAGAAATAATAGACTAACAGATGGATCTTTTACTTACTATATCTAAAATCTAACTCCAGACTTTTTGTCACCTCAGTAAATTGCATTTCTGGTCTTTTAATTGCTCAGGCTAAAACTTTAGTACCTTCTTGAACCTCTCTTTCTCTCCTACTCTATATCTACATAAGCAAATCTGCTAAGTCTACCCCAGAATGTAACCAAATTCAACCTTTTCTCACCATCCCTGACTGTTAACTCCCTGGTCTAGGTGGTCATCTCTGTTTAGATTGGACAGTTAAGGAAGTCCTCTGAGAGGGTGTCATTCAAATCTCAGCTTAAATGTTAAGAGGAAGCTGGTTTTATGAAAGTAGAGGAAGCAAGGGTGTCTGGGTGGCTCAGTAGGTTGAGTGTCCGACTCTTGATTTTGGCTCAGGTCATGATCTCAGGGTCGTGAGATTGAGCCCTGCATTGAGCTCTGCGCTGAGCTTGGAGCCTGCTTGGTATTCTCTCTCTCTTTCCTTCTGTTCCTCCCCCCCCCACCCCAGGGCACGCTTGCTTACTCGCTCGCTCTGTCAAATACATAAATAAAATCTTTTAAAGACAAAAAGGAAATAGAAAAAGCAGAGTTATGTTGCTGTAGGCTTCAATTTGGTTTTCCTTCTTCCATCCTTGACCCCTATGGTATATTTTCAAAATGCATTATGCCACATCTCTGTTCAAATTCCTCCAGTAGCTTCTTATACATGGCCCTCCTTAATCTAGTTCCCATTTCCTCTCTGTGTTCATCTCCTCTCCTTTTCCATCACTGTTCCATTTATATTGGCCTCTTTGTTGTCAAATACATTCCCGCCTCAGGGCCTTTGCACTTATTTTTTCTCTCTACCTGGAAACCTCTTCCCACAGACACCCACTATTTTGCTCTCTCATTTCCTTCAGGTTTTTGATCATTTGGCATCTTGGTGAGGCTTTCTCTGTCTATCTTACTTTTAACATTGCAGTCCGTAGCCCCTGCACTCCTATCTTGCCTACTTTCTCTACAGCATTTATCACCATCTACTTTTCTCTCTATTTTATTAAGGTGGAAGCTGATTTTGTTCACAGCTATATCCCCATGTCTAGGTCAGTGCCTGGGTATAGTTAGGAATTTAGTAAATATTTGTTGAATAAGTAAATAAAAACAAGAAAAAATATCCACTAGTAAAAAGTGCTGAGCAGGGAATTTAAACTGATGTGGGATTAGGTCACAGGATGATAATATTTGTTCAGATAATAAGGGAAGGCTTGTCTGAGAAGATGGTATTTAGTTTGACATCTGAATGAGGGGAGAGAGCCAGCCTCACAAAAGATCAAAGGAACTGCAATTTAGCCAGAGAGAACTAGAAGTACAAATGTCCTGAGGCAGCAATAGCTGGGTGTGTTTAAGGAATCTGAAGAAGGCTGGAACTTACTGGGTATGGGATATGTTTTGGAGATAGAAATAGCATAACTTGAATAAGTGATTGGGGTGAAAAAAAATTGGGAAAGCTTGGGGCGGGAAGAATTAAAAACTGTCTTTTGGCAATTGTGAGTTTGTGATAACACATCCATGCAGATACGTCGAGGAGGCAGTGGGATGTATGAGTCTGTAGTTCTGGAAAGAAGTTGGAACGTGAGATCTGGTTCTGGTTTTAAAAATATTTTGCAGGAGGGTGGGGGGATGGGTTAGCCTGGTGATGGGTATTAAAGAGGGCACATTCTGCGTGGAGCACTGGGTGTTATGCACAAACAATGAATCATGGAACACTACATCAAGAACTAATGATGTAATGTATGGTGATTAACATAACAATAAAAAATTTAAAAAAATATTTTTCAGGGGTGCCTGGGTGGCTCAGTCGGTTAAGCCGCTGCCTTCGGCTCAGGTCATGATCCCAGGATTCTGGGATTGAGCCCTGCATCAGGCTCCTTGCTCAGCAGGGAGCCTGCTTCTCCCTTTCCCTCTGTCTGCCACTCCCCCTGCTTGTGCTCTCTCTCTCTCTGTCAAATATATAAATAAAATCTTTAAAAAAAAATATTTTGCATAACTGATGATTAATGACATGGGACTAGATCACATCACCTAGAGAATACATAAAATGTGTGAATTAGTTATGTTGAAAGGCTAAGGCTGTTGTAACAAAGATACACTGAAGTGTAATGGCTCAAACAAGATAGATTTTTTTATTACTCTCTTGAGTGTAACGGTCCAAGTTCATTGGGTGGCTTTGCTTCACAATCATTCAGGGATCACTTTCCTCCCATCTTGTTACACCTCTTTCCCTTAGGGTATGGTCTGTTTTGTCAAAGCTGGGTCATAGCCCTTTCTGTCTGTCCTCAGTCCTCTGACCCATGGTAAGGAGGAAAGAGAAGCTTTGGCCAGAAATTGGCACATAATCATTTCTATTCATATTCTGTTGGTGAGAAGTTAGTCATATGGGCATAGATAACTGCAAAACCTTCTGGGAAATGTAGAGTAATTAGCCAACTAGTAACTACCTACTAGGCTACAACCTTCTTGCTAGAAAGAGGAAAATGAGTTCTGTGGGCCGGGTAGCATTTCCTGCCATATTATACACAAGAATGGAGCCTAGGTGAAAGCTCTGGAGTTAAGCCAGCTTTTAGAAGTTAAGTTGAGGGGCACCTGGGTGGCTCAAATGGTTGGGTGTCTGCCTTCCGCTCAGGTCATGATCTCCAGGGCCAGGAAGCAAGCCCCATGTCAGGCTCCTGGCTTGGCAGGGGGTCTGCTTTTCCCTCTTCCTCTTCCTCTCCCTTTGCTTGTGCTCTCTCTGTCTCTCTCTCAGATGAATAAATAAAATCTTTTTAAAAAAATTTTTAAAAAAAGTTAAAGCGAGGAACATGAACCATTGGCAACGGAGAATCAAAAATAAAATGCCAGTTAATGGGAGTGTGATATCATGGAAG